GCAGTGGTATGAAGTAAAAAAAAAAATTCTTACATAGTGCTGTTGGAGAATAAGTCTATATGAATCCACCACATGAATTTGATAGTTCTTTCACAAAGAATAAAACATGTACATTAAAAAGGACTTTATATGACCTTAAATAACTTTGAGAGCATGGTTTGGTATATTCACATAAGTCATAAATTAAGCTGGACACAAACAAAGCCAAAGGGTTCATACTCTCTTCATAAAATACTCCAGTAATGATAAATTATCAATTCTAATGGTATAGGTTGACGAAATAACTGTTATAGGTGATGACAATCAAGAAAAACTTACTGAGAAATTTGAAATCAAGGAGTTAAGCAAGCTCAAATACTTCTTGGACATAAAAGTAGCTTAATCAGAATAAAAAATATTTCTCTCAACAAAACTATATAAAAGATCAACTAAAAAAAAAAAATGACTGATTGCAAATAATATGAAACCCCAACAAAACCAGGTCAAAAAATTGGACGCAGATGAAGAATGAAAAAAAGTAGACAAGGGACAATAAAAAATTTGTTGAAAAACTGATATATTTATCTCACACCCATTAAGAAATCATATTTGCAATAAGTCTCTTAAGTCGATTCATGTAAAGACCTAAAAAATCTTCAAGTAGGAATATTATATAAAAGGCAAGACACTTTACAAATTGGAGGGTATATTGATGCAGACTATGTAGAATCACCAATAGATAGAAGATCTATGACTAGAACTGTAAATTTCTGGGAGAAAATATCATAACATGAAGAGCAAAAAAAAACCTATTATTTTAAGAACCAATATATGAATTTAGAGCCATTGCCTAAAGAATATGTGAGCTTCCATGAATTAAAATTATCATGAAAACTTTTAAAATTAAATAGGAAGGGTTAATGATAATATATATTGACAATAAATATGTCATTAGCATTGCTCATAATTTAATACAACATGATTGTACTAAGCATGTGAAGGTGGATGGACATTTCATAAAAGAGAAATTAAAAATTGGGTTGAATTATACTCCATATTTGCCAACAAGAAATTAACTTGCCAACATTCTTACCAATGGACTTTACAACCCCATGTTCAAAAGTATTATAAGAAATTTTGAAATGGTAGATTTATAGCACTTAGTTTGAGGGGGAGTGTTAAAAGACTGAGAGACCCACAAGTTAACTAATCTTGTTAAGGATTTTTTAGCACATGGATTACTATAGATTTTAATCTGCATGCCTTCTCTCTCTTCTAACTATCAGCCATTCTTGACTTTTCTTTTCTTATTATTAGCTCTGATTTATTTTTGTTATAAGATTTTTTAAAAAATTTATATATACTTTCACACTTTGTACAGAATAAAGTAATAAAATTCAAAGTTATTTTTTCATATTTCTACTTTGCAATAGTAACAATAAATTATGAGCAAGAAAATGAGTCTATGAAGCAATGTTTGATATGGAGTTTGAGGTAAAATAGCTTGGAATTTAAAGTATTTCCTAAAAATTAAGGTTGCTCGCTCACATGGGGAGCTCTTAATTTTACACATTGCAACAAAAGTATACCATTGTTCCACTTAAGAAAACTAGGATGTTGGCTTGCAAACTAGCTTATACAACAATTATTTGAATCACTAATTAGGAGAAGATGTAAATCGTATTATAGATAAAGAAATGGAACAGATTTTAGTATAAAACATAATTTAACCTGCGCATACGAGGCTAGCTATAGCTTAAGTTTTGAGTATGGTAAATCATTCCATGCATGAACTTCATAACATAATTTTGTTCATAAGAAATACAAAGTTGACATTTGAAACCCGTATAGATGCAAACTATACAGGTTCACTCATTGATAGAAGATCCACATTGGATACTACACCTTTCATAGATGTCAAATGGAGTAAAAAATAACAAAATGTTTTAGCAAGGTCTAATATAAAAGCAACATTTAGAGCAATGCACAAGGTATATGTGAGTTAGTGTGATTGAAAAATATTCTTAAAGTGGGAAGGCCTTATAGAACTCTAATGTGACAATAATCAAGCAATAAATATTGCACACAATCCAGTGCAACATACTGAAATGAAACAAGTTGAATAATAATGATTATAAAAAAGAAAAAATAGACAACAATTTAATATATATATATATCGCATGCGGTCTATAAATAACCAATTGGCAAATATCTTCACAAAGGAATCAACATTGCATAGTTTCAGAAGATTATTGCTAAAATGGGAATGGAAGATATCTACTCACCAACTTTAAAAGGAGTGTTAGAAAACATATTTTTTCTTCAATATTTGACTAAGCATCTATGAAAAGAATTAATTATTGCAGGTGATGGAATTAAAATCATCAAACAATTTCCATTCCAAGGGTTGCTCCTTATGACAATAACTCAAACTAAGTCATGGATCCTGAATTTATAGCTCTCATTTAAAGGACTTCATTTCAAAAAAAGATTCTCTTTTGTATATTTCATTTCTTTCTCTATGTACAACTTCTATAAGATAGCATGATTGCTTGTTACTAGATTATAATGAGATCAGCACAATTCTCTCGTGTTTTCTTACATATCATTCCAAATTGACTAGAGAAATTCCAAGAAGAAAATGAATGCTTCTTTACTTGAAATGAGAAACTTGCATAAAGAATAATGGAAAATAGAACTACAAACATACTATAAACATAAAATGGGTAATTTGTGCCCAATTAAATTATCAGTATAATTATTTTAGTTTTCAGGGATAAATGCATCATCTTTAAGAAAAGATAAAAGGCTTAAATTAGTTACTATGCCAAAAGGATATTTGTGAGAATTGGACATGGCCGGTTCAACTGAACCGACCAGTTATAGATAGGGGGTCGCAACCCGCGACAGGAAGAAACGAACAAAGTGGAAAAGCCAAACTGGCGCGGAAGGGATTGGGGAAAATTCATTTTGCCATTTTTAGCAATTGATCGTGTTTAGGGATAAGAATCACCAACTCATTTTCATTCTTATCGCTAAAGAAGTGATAAATTTGAAGAAATCTCAGTGAACGAGAAGAATGATTGAGAGGAAGATGGAAGAAGGCTTGTAAATTTTTTTTTCTTTTCATTTTCATATAAATTCCCTTATTCTGCTTCATCTAAAGTAAGTGATATTTCCATAAGGAAAAAAGAAGAGATTCAAAGCGAGGAGGAAGAAATTGGGAGAGAAGGAAGAAAAAGGAATTGAACTTCGAAATTCCTTCTTAAGGAAAGGTAAGTGATTTAATTTGAGGTCATATGTTTTCATTTATCGTTTCTTTTATTGAATAAAAAATGAGAAATATATTTTAATTTAGGTTGGAAGAATCCAAGTGATATATATTTTGGTTTGACGGTGGAGTAAGTAAGATTTGCAAGAAATGGAAGGAAATTTTGTGAGGTAAATTTTGTGAAAGAAAATCAAATGTTTATTGAGATATTTAATTAAAATTTAATATTTATTTTATTATTATATTCTTGTGAACAGTTAAAGGTATTCAATACTGGATGAATATTGAAAGAGGAAATAAATGGTAATTATAGTTATTTGAAAATTTCATTATTTTTATTTCCATTTTCATTTTTGAAAGAAATATTTACATAATTGTTTTGCTTATTTTGAGGCTATTATGAATAAAACAATGTAAACTTCAAATATATATATGATAGTATGTATAGATTATTATGAGAAAGTATGTAAAGATAGCATGAATAGGTGAAAGAATGTAAAAGAAATTGAAAGTGAAGTTGGATATAAATTATAACTAAAAAGTATAAATGAATAATGGAGAATAAATAAAAAAGAAAAAATGATATGCATGCAAAATACATGAGTCACCCCCGTATGGTACTGGCTGGGAAAGTAATATACGCATGCACGTTAAATGAAAATAAAAATGGTTGTACTTTTAGCACATATAAACGGTGCTCCTGTACTAATTAAAAAGGGAAAATGAATACATGTTAATATAAAATGAATACATGTTAAAGTGCTATAAATGTTATAAATGAATATGATATGATATGCATAAATAAATGAAGAAAATGAAAGGAAACAAACTAAGGAAATATATATCAAATTTTAAATGAATAGACATATATCAAAGGTTATATGTATTGTACTTTATATTTAGAAGTTACTCACTGAGTTTACTTTGTAAACTCAACCTATCCAACTAATATTTTAGGTAAATCTCCAAAGAATTAAAAATAACTGAAAGAGAGTACGTTTATAGAAGACGGCGTGCAAATGAAAACATGTAATTTATGATTATACAAATGTTAAGTATTTGAGAAATTTTTTGTAATAGTGGCTTTTCAGTTGTTTTGAGATATTGTATGTTAAAATTGTTAGTGATATGAATTGAATTGTTACTACCGTCCGACTTTTCGTTCCCGCCTTGTTAAATCAGGTATCAGGGCCAGGTAGTGACAATTTTCAGGCTAGTTAATGTGCTAATTTTAACCGACCCAAATAAAACTACAACCTTTTGACAAATATAAATCAAAATCTTCTGATAATTGATATGCAGGAGCAATGATTGACATGCATGATTGTGGAAATATAAGAACTATATTAATTTTGAAAAATGATTTTAAAAATTATGTGATTGACGAATAGTTTACTGTGCATTAGAATATTTAGAATAGTAATAAAAAATAGCATCTTAACATTGTATAGAAAAATAATATCGTAATATAAAAAATCAGTTCCTTCACATATTGGAACACCATAAAGAGGCTATAATTTCAGAACCATGGACAATTGGATTAAATATGGCAAGGTCTATAGGTTCATAAAAATCTAAATAAGAAAGTCAGTCATGTAAGCACAACAATTATTTTTAAGTGAAGAAACAAGCAATTTTTAGAATTTGGCAATACTAGAAAGTACTATTAAATATGATTTCTACAGTAAAAAAACTCTAAGAAAGAGCACATTAAAAATGGGTTCGGGGAGAATTAGCATGCAATACCAACCTTCCTCCCTTCCATGCATAGATTGCACATGAACATTTTGTGTTGATGGTAGAGATGGCCCTTCAACTGCTCGATGTTCTTAAATCTATGCCTTCTGTTACTCCTGTCTTTCCTCAGCTCCTCAGCATCGTTATCACAAATACTACATGAAAGCCTGCACATGGCGCTTATCATTCTGTAATGGTCTACATCATCAAAGAATGCCTGTGAATCCTCATGGTACCAATATTTCCCATGCTGACCTTCTGTAACGCCAGGTGGGAACTCCGAAAAATTTACTTTTGCCTCAGTGAAACTCCCCAAAGCCTGTCATATACGGGTAACATCAACATTTACCATTTACTATGAGTTCTATCCAGACAATATTCTACTTTTTAAATCTTCAGGATCATAACATGTACAAGTAGTAGAAAAACAGGAAATTAAGTCATAATTTTCCTTTCTCAATTCATATACTAATTTCTTAAAAAAAAATTATTACTTTTTTAGCAAAAATATACATTTATTTTGATTTTTCAAAATTTTTAAGTCTTCAAAAGTGGTGGATACCCTAGATCATCAACACAGAGAAAACCTAAATCCATCCAACCAGAATAGAAAGAGATATATAGAAAACAACGCTGATTCAATCGAAAGAAAAAAAAAATAGAGCCTCAATAAAATCTCCTTTAAGATCTAAACCGAACGAAATCGGTCCCAAAAGATCAAGCATATAAAATAGCATTCATACAAAGGAGTAAATGGATCGTTTGAAGCATGAAAATCAGGAAACCCATAAATTACCCTGGTGATGAAAACGGATGGGCATTCAGTCTTGCAGATGCAGCAGCGGCGATCGCCGAGAACAAAGCGGAGACGGACAACACAAGTGGAGCATACATCGCGATGGCCGCAAGATCCATAGGCGACCCACTCGAGGGATTCGGCGCACACTGCGCAGCAGTCGTCCATCTAGAGAAAGTTTCCGGGGCAGGAAGTTCGCCGGAGATCGCAAGGGGAGAGAGAGCGCAGTTTAGAAATAGCCCGTGGACCGTCGAAGAGCTCAGGGAAACAAAAGGCCCACATCATGTAAAACTTTTTCCATTTAAAGACCGGTCGTTTTGCTCCAATTGTGAAAATTGGTAACAATAATAATCCAGTGAGAGGGATCTTAGAATAATACAATAATAATAAATTCATACAATAATAATAAATATGTATAATAATAGTAACAATGAATAAAAAACATGTATTTAATAGTCACATAAAACAAGTAAGAAGTTATGACTATCACGATGTTTTTTAGTATTGTATTAGTATCAGTAAATCGTTAGCTCAATAAACAGAGTCATAACTCTTTATCCGTCGGCATAGTAATCATATCCTTATAAACACTCAATCAGTATCACGTGAATCAGTAGAGGATAACATCAAACCACAGTATTTAAAGGAAAACACGTCGGCCCACCATCATGTACAGGTCAATCAGTCTCCAACCAACAAGTCAACCAATATTTACTTATTTTTTACACACACATTAGTATTTCAATACTATAACATTAATTTTAATCATATATCTACATTCATTTTCAATATATTGCAATAAATAAAATATAATTGAGCTTAATTAAGAAAATGTCAAAATATCATAACGATAGATAACAAAGAATCCTATTAGGAAAAAATGTACATTTTTCAGAAAATTATTAAAATACAAGGATTATATAAAAAGATGTTTGAAGACTTTTATTATACTACACTACTATTTTTAGAAGCTAAAATAAATTTTTAGGTAGACATAAATCATTGTATTTTCAAAATCACGTTGTGAAAAATCTCAAATAAATACTCAAAATATTTATAATCGTGATCTCTATAACATACAAAAAGTTACACGATGAAAATCTTACCAAAACAAAGTTATTTATATTTTTCGGTAGCGAAATTTCAAATTTAATCATAAAAATGTCAAAAAATAAAAATTTTGAAATCCGAAATAGACTAAATGTTCCTTATAGTGAGACGATCAAATATCTCAACTGGGCCGACTAACGAAAATCACTCCGCGAGCTCCAAAACTAGGTTTCCTTTTTCTCTCTCTTATCTTTTTTCTCTAATATCCCTTAAAACATCCTCACTTGTACCGACATGTACCAACTCCTTAAGGATTTTCACAAGTGCCCAAAAATTACAAAAAAAAATCATGCATGTAAAATACAGCCTTCTCCAACCGTTCGACAAACAGGCGAATGGAGAGCCTCAGACATCCCAACCGAACTCCATTTTTGTCGGCATTCAGTCGCTGATGAACAGTGTGACGCCAATATTGGCGTAGCACTGTTCACTTTCGCCATTTCTTTCTCTACCGAACTCTGTCTGAGAAATGCGCAAAAGAAACGATGATGATTTTGAGGCAAAATGGTGTTCCACTGGAGATGAATCACGACGCTTTTTGATTTTACTGTATTTTGCAGTGAAAAATGAGAGCTTTGGTTGCAGATGCCCTATTACAATCAAAATATTATGGCGAAAACAGTTCACAATTTGGAGTTATAATGACTCTAAAAAAATAGCATAGTCAAAATAGATGCTATTACAAGAATGGTCTAGCACATAGCGCGTTAGACAAAAGATTGTCCATCATCCCGAATGATAAACAAACAATCAATGTAGAAAGATACAACCATAATCATCACAAAACATTCATAACAACCATTATGGAAACCAACAGTGATGAAGCCAACCAATAGAAGCTGTAGGAACATCCAAAAATAGCCTCCACATGAAAACCACCTGAGCAAAAGAGACAAAACCAACTGAATATCCCAAAAAATAACGAAGAATATATACAATCGTTAATCACAACCACCAGATAATAACTCAGCTAGAATGTAAACCAATTTGCGACAACAACACAAATTCTCAACAATATTTCAAATTCCCATTTTTCCATCAATCTATTAATCTTAAGATATATATATATATATATATATCTAGAAATCCTTTTAGAAAGTGTAGTAGCACATACAAAATTGAAGTTAAACCTCATGTTGTCACATTTAGACAAAAGGAAGTAAACTACGGCATGAAGGGTGGGGAGCATAGCATTTTTAAAGTTTTCTGCCATAGAAAGACATCCAATGTAATATAGGACTTAAAATATAATAGGCCTAAGGAAGTAATTTTGAAATAAGGGGATTAATTTCATCGAAACCATAAAAGGAGAAATCACATTCAAATAGCAAGTGAGAGAGAGTTTCAGTGTTTCCTTGACATAAATTGCATGGTAGATCTTGAATATTAATGTTTCTATTGGAAAGAACATCAGCAGTGATCAAACCACCTCTAAGAGCCATCCAAGTGTAAACTAAGAATATGAAGGAATATTTTTTATGCTAGACCAAAGGATGCCACTTGTATGTAGTATCATTAGCAAAATAATCAAAGTAGAAATCGTTGAATTTGACATCGTCTAAGTTTTCCCAACTAATATGATTCACATTATTAAGGGATATTGAAATGTCTGTGCAAAAATTCTTAAAAGGGGGCTAACATGGATTAAAATAATTCAGACATTATGATGCATCCAATCAACAAGATGTGCATTAGAGTTGCTGGCAGTAGAAATAAAAAAAATTTAGAAATTTGTCTGTAATGGAGTCACCCAGGCACCAGTGGTCCCAATGTATTGATTCAATCATCATCAAATTGGGTTGATATGAAAATTATTTAAATAAAATTTAAATTGTAAAATAATTATAAAATAATATAATTAAAAAAAATAAATTGAACTCATACATTAATAATACCTTATATTCATTTTTTTAATATTTATTCAAATTAATCAAAATTAACTTATATAAAATTTTAAATTTAATATAAGTTATTATTAATTTATTTTATATGTTTAAATATAATTTACACATATTTTTTATATATTAAATTCATATTATAAATTTACATTTATAAATTATTTAGGTTAAATCATTTAAAAATAATGAATAAATAAATAATTTTTATAGTACATAAATAATAAATCTAGTATA